GGAGCAAAAGGGCAAAAGCTCATTTGATTTTGATTTCCAGTACGAATACAAATTGTGAAAGCGTGAGTGGCGGATGGCCCAGTGGTTAGGGCACCGGTTGGAAATGCACATTGTGGTCTGAGGTTGTGGGTTCAAATCCGCAACCTCGTGCATATGCCACCGGCACGGCGTTAGGTTGACGCACTACCACTCACACACTGAGTGGGAACGCTCCCAGGGGCACGGCTGTACACCGGGGTCCACCGTTCAGCACAAGACTTGGGAAGCCACCTGCAAGGGTGCCCACTAGATGCTGACAACCCAACCGTACTTCCTGGGTCCCCGCAACGGTTGAGCGCGTGCCTCCCCTTGGGGTTGTCGAGGCCATGGGGGGGGAGTGGCTCCGGGAGGGGAAGGCTCAGTTGGCGAGTGCGGGAGGAGTGAGGGGGTCACCCCTCACCTAGCAGGGACTGGCGCGTCCCTGTAGCACCACGGTGGCTGTGGTGCTTACGCTTCCCAGGCCGCGGAGCCGCAGGGAGGTGAAGCCCTGAGTGGGTGCTGGGTGACCCCCGGCGCATTCGCCTGGTAGCGCCGGTCTGGGCGGAAACTCCCGGGTGGGTAGCGAAGATTGTGAGTTCCCTCCTTGACAGATCACTGGGTAAGTGGGTGGGTCCGCTGCACCGCCAGGAGGGCTGACCCCGGCGCGGAAAGCCCTCTGGCGGATATCCTCCCTGGGTCATAACCCCCGACACCTCTACAACCCTTTTTACAAACTGTGAAAGCTTGAGTGGCGGATGGCCCAGTGGTTAGGGCACCGGTTGGAAATGCACATTGTGGTCTGAGGTTGCGAGTTCAAATCTGCAACCTCGTGCATATGCCGCCGGCACGACGTTAGGTTGACGCACTACCACTCACACGCTGAGCGCGCACGCTCCCAGGGGCACGGACGTACACAGGGCTCTGCAGCTCTGGACTTGGGGAGCCACCTGCAAGGGTGGCCACTGAATGCTGATATCCCAATCGTACTTCCTGGATCCCCGCAACGGTTGAGCGTGTGCCTCCCCTTGGGTTGGTCGAGGCCATTCGGGGGGAATGGCTCCGGGAGGGGCAGGCTCAGTTGGAGCGTGCGGGAGGAGCGAGGGGGTCACCCCTCCCCTAGCAGGAGCTGGCGCGTCCCTGCGGCACCATTGCGACCGTGGTGCGAAATGCCTCCCGACAGTGGAGCCACAGGGAGGTGAAGCCCTGAGTATGGGAGGGGGGACCCTTGTGACGTGCAACCTCACGCCCTGTGCTGTCTTTCGTTCGGAGTGCTAGTCGTGTGGAAAGAGGCCCAGAAAAACAGCAAGATCGGGTGTGCCAAGGATTTTTGGAAATTGAGTGTGGGGACACAGACGGAACTGAAATCCCCCGTGTTGGTCCGACGAAGTAAGTCGATCGTTTTTCACGTGACGCTAATTGCGCGCGCGGAAGTTTGGCGCGAGAGGAGAGAGAAATACAAATTCAATCCAGAAAATATTGTCAGACTTCCCACCTGGCTACGGCCCATCGTTTAGAACAGAAAGGCTTCGGCACGCTTTGCGTGTCTCGTTTTCTTATTAAGTCCCGTCGTCGTTCACTGACCAGTTCGGAATCCGACGTGGATGGTCTTAGTCGCGTGGCTCTTTCTTTATGTTCGTCTTCACTCCGCACACGGTAGTGGAAACCCCTGGTTTCGTAGCGCTCAAAGCGCTGGCATTCGATGCACAGAGTGCGCGGCCAGTGGGGTTCTACTGTCGTCCACGGGATGACTATCAACTCGTTGAATGGCAACAATATCGAGTAGGGTGGAAAGTGTGTATCGATGATGACAAACCCAGCCTCTACGAACC